TCCTCTTCCCTTCAATTACCATTTACACAGCCCAAGCCCCGCTTATCGATTACTTTGTTCTACTGTCCTGGCTTGCATGTGCGTGCTACTGGATGCGGTGCCAGTGGGCCCACATGGCGAACAAGTTCCAGTGGAGCTTCCTGACTAAGAACAGATTAAGAAGAATGAAGATGTGGGCCCTTCTGAAAATGTAGCCACTGAAAACTTGATAAATATCAGTAAAACATTGTCTGATACAGTGCCAGAAGGTGAGCTCTTTGGTGGGAAGTCACTCAAAATAGGACTGCGGAAGAGCTGCTACCTCAAAGTAGAGTTGACTTTGATGACAAGGATAGAGCAAAGCTCCCTTGGTGTTCATTTGCTGAGAGGGCACAACTCAAAACGAGAATAAACAGCTGTAAATACCCATTAGTAACCAGAACATAGAATGTATGAAATATGAATCTAGGATGATTGGAAGTGATAAAATAGGAAATGGAATGCAAAAGATTGCCAATTTGGTATTAGTGAGCTAAAATGAACTGGTATTGGCCATTTTGGACTGGACAGTCACAGGTTTTACTAGATATGACAGATTCAACCAGAAAAAACATCACATTCATCATCAAAAAGAACATATCAAGATCGCTCTGGATGTGCAATGGTGTCTGTGATAGGTTAACATCTATGTGCCTATAAGGAAGATCAGTTGACATCATTATTATTCAAATGTGAGCACCAAGCACTAAAGCAGGTGATGAAAAAACTGAAGAATTTTTTCTTCTTCAGCCTTAAATTGACCAAACATGAGTTGGAAATCAAGATGAAAGACCAGAAATGGAAAAATATTGTGTCTATGATGGAAGCTAGCGATCACGTGATAGAATTTTGCAAGTCCAATGATGTCTTCATTACAAATATATACTTTTTCTAACAATATAAACACTTAGCCCTTACTATATGGAAAACCCAGGAATCAATTGACTATATCTGTGGAAAGACACCATGGAAATACTCAATATCATCAGGGGAAAAAAATCAGGGCATTAATATGGAATAGATAATCAATTGCTCACTTACAATTAAGGTTGCAGATGAAGAAAATTAAAACAAATCCATGAAAGCCAAAATACAACCTTGATTACATTCCATCTGAATTTATCAACCATCTGAAAAATAGATTTGATATATTGAACATTAATGACTGATGACCAGAAAAACTGTAGGATGACATCAGGAATATCATTCAAGAAAAAAGCAAAAGATCATCAAAAGGACAGGGACGAAAGAAAAGACAAAAATGAATGTCAGAAGAGACTCTGACACTTGCTCTTGAATGTGCATAAGTTAAAGCAACTGGAACAAATAATGAAGGTAAAGAGCTGGATAGAAAATTTCAGAGGGCAGGGCCAGCCCCAATCCCAACTATGTGGACACCCCCATACCCCACCCCCAGAAAAATGCACTGCAGAGGACAGCACTGAAGCTACAGCTCAGGGAGAGGGGCACATCTGATCAGAGCACATGGAGCAAATGAAGAGGGAAGGAGAGAGAGTGGAGCACATCCTGGCCCACCAAGTCCCGAGGATGATATTCCTGCTCAGAGCAACCAATGCAGAGAGGACTATAGGGCCAGCCCCACCCTCCACGAGACATGGTGTCCCTCACTGACCCATAGCGCTATGGGGGTCAACACTGGAGACATAGTGGGGGAATGAAGTCACTGGGGAATACAAAAAATAGACTTTGGGGCCAGGGTGTACCACCCCATCAGACTCAACCAGGAAACATTACTAAAGGTCAACAAACAAAATATTTATAGGCTATTTTTTTGTCGTTTTTATTTTTGTTGCTGTTGTTGTTGGTTTTTTTCTTTTGTTGTTTTGTTTTGCTCTGTCTTGTTTTTGTGCTTATTATTGTCTCTGCATGTCTATCTAGATAAGACAGGTAGGATGAACAATCCGGAGGAGAAAACAATGGGACTGACAGTTCTGGAGGGACATGGTAGAGGGGGAGGCAAGGAAAGTAAGAGGGTTGTTAACAAACCCAGGGACAAGGCAACAACAAGTGATCTAAAATCCATGGTGAGGAGGGCATAGGTGGGGCTTGATCAAGGGCAATGCAGCCAAGAGGAATTACCAAAATCCTAATGAAGACCAAACATGATAGTGAGACAAGAGGAAAGTAAACGGAAATAGAGGAAAGAACTCACACAGCCACATGCAGTGACGCAGATGCAGGAAGATCACAGGTTGGTGTGTACAGAGTTCTGTGAACCCAATGTCGGTGGAAACATGGCAGGATGAGGATGGGGCATCCCAGGGTCCTCCTTATAAGACCACACCCTCAAGGAGACATCATAAGGTTGTGCTCTAATTGACTCCACCCCTACACTTTATACATCTTGAAGTTGACATAAATTATCAAACTCCCACAGAACATCTGTTGTAAACTTGCCACCGTACACAACTCTATAGCCATACATAATCTCTAAGACAATAGTAAAATCTTATTTGCTCCTAACATGATACAACTAATACACACACAACAAAAAATTCACCAGCTTCATTTAAACTATACATTCTATAAGTGAGTAAAACAAAAATATTCTATGCTTAACAATTGAAATTATATGAACGCCTACACCTTAATGCCATAATTCTATCAACATCTTCCCACTCCCATGAAAATTTGTAAGACAGGCACTTCATCCCTTTATCTCCCCCCATTTTGTGTTTCCAATTTCTACACTGTCCATTTCTTTTTTATAAAATCATTTTATCGGGGCTCGTACAACTCTCATCACAATCCACACACACATCCATGGTGTGTCAAGCACACTTGCACACCTGCTGCCCCCATCATTCTCAAAACACCGGTCCTGCACTTGAGTCCTTGGCATCATTTCCTCATTTCCCCCCTCCCTCCCCACTCCTGCCTCCCTCATGAACTCCTAATAATTCACAAATTATTATTATTTTGTCATATCTTATACTGTCCAACGTCTCCCCTCACCCACCTTTCTGCTGTCCATTCCCCAGGGAGGAGGTTATATGCAGATTCCCGTAATCGGCTCCCCTCTTTTACCCCACCTTCCCTCTACCCTCCCAGTATCGCCACTCTCACCACTGGTCCTGAAGGGATCATCTATCAATCCAGTGCTCTGAGGAGACAAGCATGTTCTTTGATGTGAAGACTCTTCATTCCTGTTGGAACCTTGTAGTCTGCATCTAAAGCAAAGTCAAATCAGGCTAGGCCATCCTTAAAGTTAGCAGGCAATATGCACCAATTCACAGGCTCAATCGTATCTTCATTGTGTCTGGTACTACATAATGATATTATTCTATAATTGAGCATTCTGTTTGATCACCTCATTTGGAATAGCCAGAAATATGGATCTCTTCCAGTCAGTTGGCCAAGAAAAGCTGTCTTCCAAATTTCTTGCATAGACGAGAGAGTGTTTTCAGTGCTTCATCAACTTGTTAAAACATTTCAATTGGTATTCTATCCATTCCTGGAGCCTTGTTTTTGGCTAATGCTTTCAGTGCAGCTTGAACATTTCATATGCTACCTCCTGAAGTGATTGAATGTCAACTAGTTCCTTTTAGTACAGTGACTCTGTATTCTTTCCATCTTCTTTTGATGTTTTATGCATCATTCATTATTTTCCCCCATAGAATCTTTTAATATTGCAACTCAAGGATTACGGTTTTCTTTAATTATTTAAATTTAAGATATGCTCAGTGTGTTCTTCTTTTGGGTTTTCTAATCTAGGTCTTTGCACATTTTATTGTATTTTACTTTGTTCAAGCTGCTCTTTGGGATTTTCTGTTCAGTTCGTTGACTCATCATTTCTTCCATTAGTTCTGATTAAAAGCAAGTTTCAGAGACTACTCACATTCACTTTGACTTTCTCTTTCTTTCCCATCTTTTAAATGATCTTTGCTTTCTTCGTGTATGATATTCCTGATGTCATCCCACAGCTCATCAAGTCTTCTGTCATTAATGTTCAATGTATCCAATATATTCTTGACATGTTCTCAAAATTCAAGTGGGAGAGACTCAGGTCATATTTTGACTCTCATGGACTTGTTTTAATTTTCTGCAGCTTCAATCTAAACTTACATATGAGCAATTGATGATCTGTTCCACAGTCAGCCCCTGGCCTGGTTTTAGCTGCTAATATTGAGCATTGTCTCTTCCTGAAGATGTAGTCATTCTGATTTCTATGTATTTCATCTGAGAGGTCCATGTATATAGTCACCTTCTGTGATCTTGAAAAAAAGGTCTTTGTGGTGAAAAAGTTTTTGGTCTTGTAAAATTCTATTGTGCAATCTTCTGCTTCATTTCTTTACCCAACTACTATTGTTGGGGTTCCACAGTTTCCAACTACTATTCCTTCCTCTTTGTTTCCAATTTTTGCATTCCAATGACCAATAATTATCAATACATCTTGATTGCATGTTTGATCGATTTCAAACTGAAGACATTGGTAAAATTCTTTCCTTTCTTCATCACTAGCTTTGTTAGTTGGTGCATACATTTGAAGAATAGTTGTATTGAATGAATTTCTTTGAAAGTGGATAGACACAATCCTACCACAGACTACATTCAAGATCGACCTTGAACGGTCCTTTTTGACAATGATTGCAATGCCACTCCTCTTGATTGTTTCTTTCCCAGAACAGTAAACTATCTGATTTTCTGCTTCAGAATGACCAGTGTCAGCACATTTCAGTTTGCTAATGCCTAGAATGTCAAATTTTTTATATGTTCCATTTCATTTTTGACCAGTTTCAATTTTCCTGTATTTATACTTGGTACGTTCCAAGTTCCAATTGTTAAGTTATGCTTATATCAGTTTCTTCTCATTTTTAGTCATTCCCAATTAGCAAATGAAGGTCCTGAAGGCTTTACTCTCACAGGCTTTACTACATCTGTGTTATTATGGTCTATTCTCCTTTGAGAAGACAGCTCTTCCTCAGTTATATTTTGAGTACCTTCCAACTTGAGGGACTCACCTTCTAGCCCCATGACTATAACAATGTTCTGCTTCTTTTCATGAGCTTATCAGCACCTGGAAATGTTCAGCTCTGTCTCTAAGCTGTTCTGAAGGGGACAGCTATCCCTTCACAGTAGTCTGTTCTTGTCCTGGAAGCTCTGCTGAAACCTGTTCATTTTGAGTGACCCTGCCGGCATTTGAAATACAGGTGACATAGCAACCAGCATCATAACACCCACAAGCTGCCTCAGTTAAACAAAGTGTCAGATGAGTGGTGATAGACATCTTGCTTGGTCAAGTAACTGAACTACAAAAAAGAGGAAGACATTCAACAAGATGGACCGACACAGTGACTGTATCGATGCACTCGAACATAAGAACAATTGTGAGAATGGTGCAGCACTCATTCTGTTGAACACAGGGTCACTATAAGTCAGAGCTACAACAACTATGGTATTTCTAGTCCCAATTTGTGAAGGTAGTGCCATCCTGCTTTCCATAATGATTTTAAATGTTTACAAGCCCACTAGCAATGTCTAAAAGTTCCATCTTGAAAATCAGAAGAGAGCTGCACCAAGATTGTTGAACTGTTGGTAGGCAGCCAGGCATGGTCTGTATTAAGATAGACATTATTCTGGCAAACCTGTGGCTGACATTCTCAGTGAATATTATTGTAAATTTCCCCTGACAATTAACCCCCATGGTTTGTGTAAATAGCAATCGATTCTGTACAAGTCTATGATATGGAGTTAGCCTACCCAATACCCTCTCTCAACAGGGCTTTAAAAAAATTAGAACCAGGGCCTAGTCAAAGGCAATAATAATAGAAGATCATTACGCCCCAGGAGGATGATAGATAAGGCTCTCTGCTAAAAATTAACAACAGGTTTGGAAAGGAAGCCAAGGGAAGATTAAAACAAACAAACATAGTTCCAGGAATGGGTTTTGGGCTTGCACTAAATCCTAGCTCCAATTTAAGAACAATTTGTTCTTACATCATGGCCCTACTGGATACTCACCCTCAGGAAGGGAACATAGACATATGGGTGCTATTCCAAAGTGTGGTGAAGAAACTAGATGGTGTCAGGCTATCCATTGGAATAGTGTCTGGGGTCTTAAAGGCTTGCATTCAAACAAGCAGCCATCTAAGCAAGGAGTCAACTAAGTCCACACAGAAAAAGCACACCAACTTGTGTGATCCAAAGAAGTAATTACAAAACTCGAATATGGGGAGCATGAAAGCATCAAAGCAAAAATTATGAATGCCCAATTTGTAGGGGGCTGTGGGGGCTGTGGAGAGTCCAAAACCCATCTGCAGAGTATTTGGTCCCACTGAGCCACTGGCAGATGTGCTCATTAGCCTTACTACCTGGCAGAGACCATTGTAATCCTGATTATGCCGCATCAAACTTGACACCTGGCCAGTTGACCACCCTACAAGCACGACTTGAGTTTGTTCTGCATGCAAGTATTTCTTACTGGTTCCATGACAGAAATTTCTTCCCTGGATTTTTGATGATTGTTGGTGGTCTTTTCCTTTTTACACATTAGTATTTTTGTCTGTGTACTATTATGTTTTACCCATACCTCCTTAGTGTGATTTTGTTTTTTATTGTTTTCTGTTGGGTCTCCCAGCTGTGTGGCACAGAATGAGTGGATGCATAATGATAATAATGGATACAAGGGGATGTAGGGAGTACAGGGGCGGGGGTGGGGTGAGGATAGGGAGGGAAAGGGGATTTAAGGAATAACTAATGAAGACGGAGTGGGGAGCATCAGAACGGATTGTGATTGCATAAATCATCTTAAAGGCCATTTAGCTCAGGCGGGGGGTGGGGTGGGGGGGGGAGTGATGCTCTAAAATTGGTGTGGGGGATGACAAGATCGAATGATTGAACTATTGAATTATATGATATGTAAATTACTTGCCAATTAAACTGTTGGGAAAAAATAAATAGTACCATTGATTAAGGATTAAATTTTTTTCTTAATGTTAACACAATAAGTAATTGAAAAGAAGACCTTTGATCTCTACTGGCACAGTGGGTCACAAGCTGGGCTGCTAATGGCAGAGTCGGCAATGGGGACCCACCAAGTGCTCCAAGGGAGAGAGAGGAGGCATCCTACCGCCCTCGAGGTTTTTACCTTTTTAGTATTCCAAATCACTGAGCTAGTTCACATATGAGCTAAAATGTTCACTTAGAAAACAGTGTTATATATTGAAGTTTGCTCTCTCATAGCATCCATAAAGACATAAATATAAGCACGAGGTGCTTACTTAAGAAGCCCTGACATTACAGTGGGTTAAGAGTTGGACTGCTAACCCCAAATGGGGGCTCTCAAGTCCACTGGCTGCTCTTCATGAGAAAGATGTGCCAGTTTGCTTCCATAAAGATTGACAGCCTCAGAAACCTGATGGAACAGGTATACTTTGTCCAATAGCGTTGTGATGAGTCAACTCCTAGCAGTGGGAAGTGTCCCATTAGGTAACAATCAAAGACACTCAACATTTGCCTCTCGGTTTACAATCATTCTGATGTCTTGTTTATTTCCAGTCTACTGAGCCCTGGTGGTGTAGTGGAATACGCTTTGGGCTGCTAATCTCAAGGTCATCAGTTGGAAACTACCAGCCAGCTCCGAGGGAGAAAAATGAGGCTTTCTACTAAAGAGTTACAGTCTCGGAAACCCAGTGGCAGTTCTACCCTGCCCTATTGGGTCTCCATGAGCCAGAATTGGCTCTATTGCAGTGAGTTTTCATTACTATTATTATTCACATGAAGGGCAACTAGTCCACAGGGGTTGAAGACACTATCCCTAAAATAAACTTGGGTGATTCTTTAGTTAAGAGCTTACTCTTAAATTAATATAGTTGAGTTTGTGAGTGTTGGGAACTAATGGTATAATTGAGGAGTTCTCCAAACCAACTTCCAAGTAGAACACAATATTTATTATGATCTAATAAAATGTACTATTTTGAAACAAATATAGCTGGGTATATATGTGTGTGCACACATGTATACAAGTATATATGTATATATATATGTGACCCCCCCAAAAAAAAAAACTCATTGCTATCCAGTTGATCCAGACTCACAGAAACCCTATCGCACAGAGTAGACCTGGCCTTTTGTGTTCCTGAGGCTATAAATTTTACAGAAGCAGAAATCCTCATCTTTCTCCTCAGAGCAGCTGGTGGCTTTGAATTACTGAGCCCAATGTATAATCAGCTACACCATCAGGGTATGTATATATTTGTGTGTATTTCTAAAAGTTAAGTGAAAAATCTTATTATCTTTTCATTCCTTTCCCCCACTAAAATTTGAAGCCCGTGTGTGTGTGTGTGTGTGTGTGTGTGTGTGTGTGTGTGTGTGTGTGTTTCACTTCTTCCATGAGGGAGACCCAGGTTCATTCCTAGCCATTCCTGTCAGTGGTGGCTTGGAGTCTACTATGATACTGACTAAATTTCAGTGGAGCTTCTAGTAACATAAATTAGGAAGTTAGGCGTAATGATCTACCTCTAAAAAGTGATCAATGAAAACTCTATGATCACAAGGGTCCAATTCACAACTGATCACTCAAGGACGGCACAGAACACCTTGAGTCTGGGGTTAACTCCACAGTAGCTAACAACAACAAATGATAACAGACTTTCAATAATTAAATGAATAATCACATGTCAATAATTACAACAACAAAAAATTGAGACCAAAAAGAAATTTGTTAAAGAGAATTTTCATCATTGATATTATTTAGCATTCCCAACACATGGTTATAATGAGAAGCAGACTGACTTTTCATTAAAAACCAGACCCTGTTGTCTGGAGCTCAGGCTGTAGATTCATCTCAGGTGATTGGTTCATAGCCTGCAAAGTGTGAAAGGGTAATTACTCCAGCAGTCACTTATTGCTGGATCCTTAAAATTTGTTGACTATCACCTAGTATATTGTCTTACAATGAAAGGTAGCGAACACCTGTGAATATTATATGAGACTCTAACGATGGAACAGTGACAGCTATCTTTGGCTCATGTGGCAACAAATCTGAGGATGCCAGAGTGGGCCAAGAAAAGTGAAATGCTCAAAAGGACAGTGTACAGGACCACTACTGTAAGGAAAACGGCCGGACGACAGCAGGCTTCTGCTCTCGGCTCATGTCATCTTCTAAGCTGGTCTCTCAAGCAATGAGGTAATGAGCCCGCCTACTGCTATGAACATTTCTTTATATGTGCATCTTTAAAATCACTTTTTAAAAAACAGGAGAGACCCGCCTCAGCTGGGGCCAGTTTCTCAAAGAGGAAGAAGACCATTCGGTAGCTGCCATCCAGTGTGCGAAGGTCATCCCAAATCAGGACATTCCCACATGGGTGATGCGCGAAGTGTGCTGGAAATTCAGGCCAATGGGACCATAGACGTTTTGGAAAAGGTGATTATACTGTGGTTGGTGCGCAAACCTGGTGGAACTACAGGCCATCAGGAAAATCTATTAACAATACATACAGAAACCTCATGGAGAGAATGTCTGGTAATGTTCCTAATTGGACACTTTTGACCTAATTTCTGTCCAACCTTGCTGACCGAGGCTGGGTGCGATAGACTACTGGAATGTTAGACATTTTCCTTTTGAAACACACAACATCCTTCATAGACCACACCCGAAGGATTTGATATGGAAACCCCACTAAGTGAACTAGGCTGTTCCTGAAACTCACCTGGAACCAACATACTCCCTTGGACTTAAGACCGAAAAGTCCTAATGAAATCTGAATGAGGGACTGTATCAGAGCTAAATTTTGAACACCTGGTTTGGGGAAGGCTATAGATGACAGCGGCAGCCCAAATTCCATTTGTAGGGTCCACATATGGATTCAACCTCTGGTGAATCCCCTCTGACCATAAACCAAGGATGTGAATAGGCTTTTTATCAGGTAGAGAGCATTATAAGGTTGTTATGGCAGATGTACTTAGGGAAAATGTAATTCCTTATCATTTGATATCCCTCTTGACCCATTTTAAAATTGTTTTGGTTTTTAATA